CGTTTTGGTTTTGGATTTAAAAATATAGTAATAGTTTGGTTATTTATGAATTTAGGTTTGGTTTGAGTTTTGCTATTTTGCTTTTGTCCAAACAACAGTGTTAGGAACCCGATAAAATTAAGAGTTCAATTCGAACGCACTGGTCTAGATATGGATATAGAATTTTCCGATCTTGATTCTGATTTAGGAAGCTATTTTTTTATTACATTTTCTAGTTTAAATTTTTTATTATTAAAATGTTTTCCTATTTTAAATCAATATCTCAAGGTTATATACAAAATCAGAAAATATCTGCAGCTTTTGTATCTCTATGTGATAAATGTAAGCTATATATTTAATAATTATGATCAGAATATCCCAATATCAATTTGAAATAGTAAATATCCTACTATAAATATTTTGTTTATAAATATATTATATATTTTGTAATTTCATAAAAATGTTGTTTATATATCTTCTTGGCTATTATCAATATATAGTATTTTTATGTTTTATACATAATGTAATTTGTCATCAGTGGTTAATAATTACAAATAAACATTTAGTATACAATTTTAGTTTGAAGTAAACAAATAGATAAACATCCTAAACTAATGAAGAGAAAATTTTAAATCTCCTATATATTAATCCTGGAGCATTATAACAGTTTTTGGTAGCCACGCGTCACAATGAAAATGATTTTCACAACTCTTAGAGAAATATATTGGTCTAACTAAACATAAGTTATATTTTATTAAATTAACTATCATATTTGATTAGTAGTGTACAAAAGAATCTTCTCTATTATTTCCTTAAATAAAAGCTACAGAATTACCTAATATAATTAACAAATATATCACAATTAATGATTATGAATAATAAAGATTTCATAACAACTTTTTACCCTCTTTACTTTTTATTTAATTTTATATTATTAAAATAAATTAAACAATAAAATTAATCATATAATAGAAATAATTTAGATTTTTTCTTATATGTTATATTTTGAATTTTTTTAAAACGACCAAAAATTACTAAAAATGGTAAAAAGCCCACATTGAAAATTTGTGGTCAATGGTAACGTTTTTTTAGTTCAGCCAATCGTTTTTAATGGGTCTTAAACATTTTTAACGATTAACTAAATGAATCACGTATATAATAAAGTGTGTTTTGGTTAAAAACTTGTTGCATACCCAAAATGAATATGAACCATCATCCCGTTCGTTATTTTGTTACAATAAACAATATAGGGTTGGGCATAAAACTGAATTCAAATAACCGAGCCAAATCTAATCCAAAAATTAGTACATATCTTTAAATAGACTTGGTTAGATATCCAAATGGATTAAAAATTTTGGTATCCCGAGAATCGAAACTGAATCAAAATATTTTGGCTATCCGAGTGTATTCGAACCAGATTTATATACTTAAATATATTAATTATTTTTAAATTTAACATCGAAGAATATACAAAATACATGAGATGTTTTAAAACTTTCCAAAATAGTTAGAAATACATAAAATAGTTAAATGTACATTTTTAAAATAGCTAAATGATATTCAAAATACCAAAAATACTTAAAATATTTATTGATTTTTTTATCTAAATAGTTAAAATAAACCATTTTTGTGTTAAGTTTAAGTATTTTGGCATTCAATTTTTTCAAATTTATATGTTATATATTCTTTTTAATTTTATATTTTGAGAAATTTAAAGTATATACGAACTTTAGTCTTTTAAAAAAAGTTAAATAGGTTATCCAAACCTGCGAAGATTTTAACCAAAACCGCAAAATCTAAACAAAACAGAATTTAACTGAACCAAATGGTATCTAAATACTCATCCCTAATCAAATGTAAAAAATGATTATTGATAACAAAATTTGTATTTAAATACAACATATTTTTTTAAAAAGCTCACTCCGCGCATGGTGCGGTTATCATCTAGTGTTTTATTGTTTCCATAAAGATTTTTTTTTTTATAAATTTCATTAAATATACTTTAAAATTTTCCTTTTATGCATAATTCCTCTTTTAGTTGCAAACTATAAAATTCTATTTATATCTTATATATTAAAACAAAAGTCACAACCTTTATTCCTGTGTGATTTTGAAAAAAAAATGGATCATTCCTTATAAACCTACTTAAATGAGTTTTTGTATACATATTTGAAATATTTTAATTATTCTAAGAATGATAATATAGATATTTCTATATTTTCTCTAAATTACATCTAAACAAAATCTTTTCATATCTTTATATTTACAATATAAGTATATATTTCCTTTTTCATTAAAACAATCAATTTTATGATATGGAATTACTTTCGTATTTTTTTAAAAAAATATAGATGTAAATTTTGTTTCACTTAACAAACCTTTTAAGTATTTAATTAATTTCGTAATTAATTGAACTATAAATGTATATTTCATTTTTACTAAAATAAACCTTTTAAGTATCTAATTAATTATGTAATTATATTAAACTCAGGTATTATTTTGTATTAAATTTTTGATATTAATTTAACTAATATTTTAATTAAATCTTTGATCTCTAAAATTTAAGATTTATTAATTCATAATTTTTTACCATACTGTTGAAAATATGCTATCAATATGAGTGATCGGTCTAAATGAATTTTTTACAATGCATTTAGTTTATGTTATTTAATATAGTAGCTGGTTTAACTTTATATTTTAATAATAGAAATATATGACTGTTTTGTTTACAGAAAGATAATCAAGCTCATTTTTATATAGATCATATACATATATTATTCATTAATGTAATTTTTTTTGTTTCTTTTATCATGTGCAATTTTGAAAATAAAATATGTATTATACTAATTAATGTCATTAACAAAAATGACAGATGAATGACTGAAAAATATCATTCATGTGAATATTTTAATTTTCACTGTGTTTATTATCAAATATAGTTGTAGGTTTAAGTATTAATTATATAATTTGATGTATGATAGATGACTAGTTGTAAATAAAATTTTTAACATTGAAAATCATTGTAAATAATCCAAAAATTTTGGGATATTAAAATCTAAATTAGCAATAGAAAATATAAGAAACCTCAAAAAAACATAGATGATAAAGAGAAAATTTAGATTTAAAAGGATAAAAACACTCACAATACATTATAATTTCCGTTTTAATAATTTAAATGAAGCAATCGTTTTATAAACTACACTTAATATAGATTATTCAGTCAAAGATTTAATTCATACAAATAGTTAAGTTAACATATATGTATGACCAAAACTTAAAATACAAGTAAAATCTTAGGAAAATTAATATCTAAGTTCATATTAAGTTAAAAGAAGTTGTTGTAAATATCACATAATATAAGGTCTTTTTGTGTTAATGTTTTAATAGGAAATGTATCACTATAATTTGAAATAATAATTTAAATGACTACATGTATACTATGAAATTTTTGTTTGAAAATATTATATTAAACTGTTAGTAATATGGTAAATAAATTATATACCTCTAATCATGTAAATCTAATAATTGTATAAAATGAATTAATCATCCGAACGGTTGTGCGGATCAATATCTAATTAACATTATTTAATATATTTTTTGTATGGATCCAAGATGTGTGGTTTAAATAGGTGTAATATTAAAATAGAGACTTCTATTTTACAAGATAGGTGTAATATGGCTGTATATTAAAATATGTGTGATCCAAGATGGAAGATGCTTAATATTAACAATGGTTGTATAAATTAAAATAGTTGATGGTCCATAAAAAATGGGCAATTCTCTAAAATAACCCTCTTTTAAGTTTTTATCACAAAAATAGACCTCGAAAATTAAATGACCAAAATAGCACTTTTTATTTTGAAATTTTTAAGTTTTCTTAATTTTTTTAAATTGGAAACCATATCCTCAAAACCCCACTCCGCAACTCTAAACGAAAAAAATCTAGAATTAGTTAACCCAAGGGGTATAAATGTATATTTAATAAAATATTTTAGTGCTATTTTGGTCATTTTAATTGTTAAGGTCTATATTTGCGATAAAAACTTTTTTAGGTCTATTTTAGTCATTTTCTCAAATAAAAATCCACTACTATTTTAATACAATAGATAAATATGTCTCTAAGTTTTTTATAAGTCAGATAAATTTTTTTCTAGGTTTATTTTTGAAGAAAATATTACATGAAAATTTAATTATTGTATTCTTTATAATTCAAATACATATGTGTGAATAATATTAATCTTCAAATTATTTAACATATATATGTTGAAAATAACATTATGTGTTTAAATACAACATTCATAGTTTATATTTTGTATGTGAAATTAAATAATAATATACTATTTGAAATTTGTAAGTCACATTTTAAATATTTTTTTTATTTTATTGTAAAAATTGATTAAAAATTTTCAGTTAGAAAATAAGAGTTAATTTGGTTAGAAAATAATTTAACAAAATAAATGATTTATCTTTAATTAATTGATAATTATTGAATGTGGCAATTGCAATTATTTTGATGAAGAAAAAGTTAATTACAATAGGTACTTCAATTATAATAATATAAAATATTTTGCAAGTTAATAGGGCCTTTGCGTTAGTTAATACTAACAGATTTTAAAGTCTGGACTAAAATTTTATTTTTTATAATAATTTTAAAATTAAAAAACAACCCTAACTAATTTACATAAATATTATTTTATAAAACAATTTCTACAGTATTGTTTTGCAATTTTCCCGACTTATGTTTTATTATATAATTATACTCTTTAAAATAATTACCTATCAGATATATATTTGTTGTATTTATAAATATATAAATTTTCTTATAAACGTATTTATAGGGAAAATTTCATTTCTACACTTTCTTTGGTACCACTATTCAATTTTACTATCAATCAAATGCCATTTTCAGAAATATCTAATTCATTAATGAGTAAAAGACTAAAATAACCTTTCTTTATATTCAATCCATCAACGCCTCATCCAAGGTCCATCTTCTCTCGTGGAGATGCGCCGTCGCTGTATTAATGAGCTTCGCCGTGTCTGTCTTTAACGAGTTCGTCATCTTCTTCATTCGGTTTCGTCTTCATCCAACCTATCTTTGATGTATTAATGAGCTTCACCGTGTCTGTATTTAACAAGCTCGTCGTTTTCTTCATCAAGCTCTAGCTTCGTCTTCATTGAGCCCCGCCGTCACCGTATTCATCATTTTTAATATTAAAGTATATTTTCAAGATAACAACATAATATATAAGAATAACTACAACTTTTTATAGGTTAATTTTAAATATATAATACAAAAATATATTTTCAAGACAACAACTTAGTACATAAGAAATATCTTATTTTCTAAGAATCTGATACTATTAATAGAAATTTGTTTTAAATATATAATAAATTATATATAAAATTATAGAAATTATGATAACACTGAACGATGGTGTTATGCTTATGTTAAAACCACCATATGCATAGAGCAAACATGGGTGTGAGCCATCTAGCTTGATATCTTTCTTCGCCACAATAAACATTGGTATCTTCGTTCCATCTTTGCTGGGATAGAAGACCTATAAAGAGAAGCAAAAGCAACTCTAACATACGTAAAGCAAAAGAAATACAAGGGTGATATAACAAAATGTTTTACTTGAGTGGCTTGAAATGCCTCCCTGTCAAATCCCGGTACAGCGACCTCTCGGAACACCTTAACTTCTGGAGCTTCGTTGGCTAAGTCACACTTGTAAATCACACCGGGATTGAGGAAGCTGGTAAAGCTAAAGAAGAAGGTATTGTCCTTGCGCCGAGCAGAAACATCAGATACTGAACCAATACCTTGAGGTAACTGGTGAAGCAAAGAGCCAGATTTCATGCCTCTAATTTGCAGGATGTGCTTAACGTCGCTCATATAGCATGTGACCAGTTGATTCCCGTTGACTACAAAAGCCGACGCTAGGACATCCTTTTCATGTTCTTCAACAACATCAGTCCAGCTGTTTGGTTCCTTCAGATCAACCCGGACTAATTTGTATTTAGGGGCATCTTTATTTGTCAGGAAAGTAAACAGCGTCTCATCATTCGAGATAACAGTATACTGTGCATCAAGTGTGTCAACAAGCTTAATGAACGGAAGAAAACTGCTGCTTCCTCTGAAACTCTCAAGACCTCCTGAAAGTGAAGATAGATCGCAGTAGTATAATTTGTTGACAGGGTCACAAGTCACAACCCTCTTCAATGTTCATGACTAGAAACTGCATGAAGATAAAACACGATGAAATTTAAATTGGAACTCAACACTAATAACCGAAGTTCTAGATACCGCTGGATCTACTAAGTTTGAAGCCATGACCATTCAAAAAGGAAATGGATCAAAATGCTTTCTAACAAAAACGATAGGAAAAGCGATGTTTAAGAGCTTAATCAAGATTAAGGACCCAAGATAAGAACGGGTTGTGTTACCTTCCCATCGTCGGTGACTTCAGCTCCGAACATATACTTGGGATTCTCAGAATCTCTCCATCATAAGATATGTTGAGAATGATCTGTCCCAATGAAATGGTAATACAGCTCATGATAAAGGTTAGAGTTAGTCGCAGTGCCAGCATCGATATCCTCTCCATCCCTGCAGAAGAAAGAAAAATCAGATGCGCAGAGCAACTAACCTATCTGAAGTGTATTAAATGGCTTCTTCCAACGCATTTTATAAGTATATTAGGCCAGAAACCAAGTATTACATATAAACTT